GACTGTACAACACCCCCTTAGGTTCTCCAGTGGAACCTGATGTAAAATTCACTGAAATTGGATCAAATTCATTTTCCGGTCCTATATTCTGAAAATCGGTATTTCCCATATGAAGAAGACCATCGTAATCCAGGATACCCGAACCGAAACAGTCGGTAGATGTTGTACTGTTACATTCACGGATCATAACCACGTGAGGTAGCTTGCGCTGAATGTTGTTACGGAAGAGTAATTCGATTGCTTGCAGGACAATCTCAACAAATTGGTAATCCACAAAAATGAATTTTGCGTCTAGATCCTTAAGTATGGTCGCTAAAGTTGTTACATCCAACTTAATGTTTAGTGCTGAGAGAACGGCTCCGGCTATTGGAACAGCAAAATGCAGCTCGTAAAGAGCTGGAATATTTGGGGCCAAAGCTGCAACCTGCTCATTGACGTGACAAAAAGTAAACTTCTGTTAACACCTAGTTATTTGTCTAACTAGCAAAGCCGGTATTGGTTAGAGCGTGTTGATCTTAACCATAAGGTCAGAGGTTCACGCTCCCCTTCCAGGGTAATATTTTTACCATGTATATCATTAGTGTATCGTTAAATTAAAAAAAAAAGAGAAGGTAATTATATAATATGATGTTATAATTATAAATTTATAATATTACTTTATATTATAATTATATTATTTTTCAAAAAAATTATTTATCTAATTAGATGTATAGATTAGAGATATTCCTCTTTTGTTAGGATAGAAAATCTGGACCAGGTCAGTCAATGTAAAATGCCATGGAGCCATTGCTGGGCCAATGAATTTTCATCTTGGAAATTTTGTGACATTATGGTATAAATACTTTTTCAAGGATCACTTAAAAACTTGTCAATCAAGAGGCTATGGTTTGGTGGACAAAGGGCCGATTTAGAGTTGCGAAGAGATAATTTTTTGTAAAAATTTTAATTATAATTATGAATGGTTTGTTTTTAATTAAATATATTATTAAAAATAGACTTAATTTAGTTCATGTAAATTGATTCACAATTTGAATATATTGAGTCGACTCAATTTAGTTCATGTAAGTTGATCCACAGAAAAAATTACCAATTTTTGAAGGATTGGTGGATTAAGTAAATTGCTTAATAGTTGCCTATTTAAAAAGAAGTTTTTTTTTTTGAATTTTTTTTTTATTTTAGTTGTATAATGAGAGATAACTATTTTCCATCCTTTATACCACTCCACCTGCATGTCATGCGACTCAGATTTAGAATTTTTTACTTTTAACGAAAAGAGATTATCACTGAATTATTTAAATCATTGATTTTTTTTAATGAAAATTTTAAGTTGTATAATGATTGATAATTTTTGTCATTCCATAACTCTCTATATCTATATATTATATAATTTAAATTTAAAATTTTTTAATTTTATTGAGAAGAGATTACCATTTAACTATTCATGTGATTTGTAGAAAAATAATCTATTAAAATTTGATCTAAAGTTATTTATACAAGAATATTTTTTTAGTGGTGGTTTTACAAAATATGGGAGATATAACTTAAGGGTTGTTTTAGTTTAGGGATCAAATCAAGGTTTATATAATAGTTCAGGGACCAAAATGATATTTTAACCAATTAGATTTATAGATTCCAGAGATATTTCTCCTTTGTTCGGATAGAAAATCTGGACCAGGTCAGTCAGTGCATGATGCCATTTTTTCTACGTTCACTAGTGGAGACTTCGCTGGGCCAGTGAACTTTTATCTTCTTGGAAATTTTCTGACATAATGGTATAAGTACTTTTTGATGGATCACTTAAAAACTTGTCAATCCAGAGGCTATGGTTTGGCGTTGGCCAAAATAAGAGGCCATGGTTTGGTTGACAAAGGGTTGACTTAGAGTTTCATATTCA